TATTCCATCTTCGTTTACTAATCCATTTCGTTCATCTCATTTAGAATGTTCATTCTTCTCTACCTATTTCCTTTCCGCTTGACTTCCCGCGCATTCTCATTTTTCCTCATTCCGCTCGATTTTCTGGCTGCATCCGATTTGGCGGATCGAATATGACGGATCCGATTTGGCGCGTCTTTCTATCTGTGCAGCATCCGCCAGAGTCATCGCTCCTCCCCGCAGTCTCTTTCTCGAAACCAAGGCCAGCGGCACCGCTACTAATTTCCCGGCGGGCGGAGAGGGACAAGGCGGAGAGACGGTAGGGGCGGAAACGAAGGGAGAGGCAGGAGCGACGGGAGAGGCGGGAGCGACCGTCCCTCCCGTCCCACCCGTCCCTCCCGTCACGGGAGCGAAGGGAATGAAGGGAAGGAAAGGAGATAAGGGAGAGACGGGAGGGACGGAAGCGAAGGGAAAGGCGGGAGCAACTCGAGAGGTAGGAGCGACCGTCCCTCCCGTCCCACCCGTGACGGGAGCGAAAGGAATGAAGGGAAGGAAAGGAGATAAGGGAGAGACGGGAGGGACGGAAGCAAAGGGAGAGGCGGGAGCAACGGGAGAGGCAGGAGGGACCGTCCCTCCCGTCCCACCTGTCCCTCCCGTGACGGGAGCGAAGGGAATGAAGGGAAGGAAAGGAGATAAGGGAGAGATGGGAGGGACGGAAGCAAAGGGAGAGGCGGGAGCAACGGGAGAGGCAGGAGCGACCGTCCCTCCCGTCCCACCCGTCCCTCCCGTGACGGGAGCGAAGGGAATGAAGGGAAGGAAAGGAGATAAGGGAGAGACGGGAGGGACGGAAGCGAACATCTCGGAAAAGGGAAGTGCGAAAAGCAACTTGAAAGTAACAAAACCGCAACTCAAGGGTTACTTGAAAAACGCAAGAAAAAATTCAATGTTCAAAATCGTGGGTGCTGAAGTGACTTGCAAAGCAACTTTTCCGTCACCTAATTGGCACAAACTGCATACTAGTACGCAACTAACCCGGTATGCGGAAAATCAGCCTCAAAGTTGCGGAAAGTCACTTCTGTTCAACCACTGCATAAGTGTCACGAGTACGCCACGTGGCATACAACTCGAGATGAAACCGAAACATGCTGACGTGGCTGGCACTGTACGTTAACGACAACCGTCGGATCAGATTCATAACGACGCACGAAAGCTAGCCACGTGGACCAATCATACAAAAATTCAAGGCGTGCGATATCAAAAATTTATCGGCTGGCGATTGGAACAGCGACAGTTTCGATTGGCGCTTCTCTCTTATGGGTATGCGTTTTTTAGCACAAATAAAAAATTCAGTATACATAGTTTGTCTTACAAGGCTAGCGCACGCACAATCTACCCAACCATAGTAGAATTACTACCGTGACGCACAGCTAAGAAGATGTTGTCAGAATATTATTGTATACATCACTTTATAACTGCCTGCAATGTAGACTTAGTGTAGTTATCTTGCTTGTTAGGTGGTGCACCTTGCATCACTTCTTTCATATTTGTACCCTTGAACCTATAGTGAAACTCTCATTCTCCTTTACAATTTTCTCGACACTCTCCTCACCCTCGAACTTAACTACCAAGGTTCCTAAGCTATGGCTCCCAAGCCCACCTAACTCTACCTACTACTCTCACAGATGTGTGAACTCCTCTAATAAGAATACGAATATAACCTGCACAAACAGAGAAATAAAAACCGTGTTAGACAAGAATAACAAGTCTGCCATTCCACCACTCACCATTGGTGTTCATAATGATGGAGTATGCTCAATGGTGAAAAATATGCATCTTACAATTCTGGTTGACGAGGACTGCGTAAACTGGTTGGAGCTGCAAAACATGCACACACAACTTTCCGTAACGCATTCCGCTGACATTGCGCCATAGGGAGAAAAGGAGTTGCAAACGTACGAAACGTAGGAACTGCAAACACAAAACTCATGGCCTGAACTGGATACTTCGCGGCTATAATTCCGTGCAAACCCACCGCGAGAAGGCTGACATCTGTCGCCTGAAAACCGTCGACCTGAAAACCGTCATCCTGATATGACGTTGCGACAGCATTAGTCGCAAAAAATAGACACAATGAGTCGACGGGCTGCAAAGTGTTATGGGAGGTTGGAGTTTGGAGGGGAGGAGAGGGAGCGGGTGGGAGAAATCGTCGGTGTACATTAGACTTAGATGTAAAAAATAGATAGTTGTATGCAAGATGGATTCTTTTTGCAAGACGACGAATGCTAATAAACATATACCTCACCAGCGAAACGAATACCATCGCGTAGAAATAAACGTATTCCTCAACAGCAGATTGAATACCATCATTTAGATAAAAACGCATACCTTCCAGCGAAACGTATACCATCGTGTAGATGAAAACGCGCATCTTACCAGCGACAAGAATACCATCGCGTGGAAAAAAACGCATACCTCACCAGCGAAACGAATACCATCGCGTGTAAAAAAACGCATACTTTACCAGCGAAACGAATACGTTTCTCATTGAAATAGTTGTTGAGCATGCGCTTTCACGTCGCTAAGTGCACGCCTGACCTCCACGATGGCCCAAATCCGTCGATCTGCCAAGGGGAACGGATGGTTGCAAGGGTATGGAGACAGTCCAGGCTGAGGCTACAACGTATGATACGGACGGACAGTGGTACGTACGAAGAAATAGATCTGACATCGTATTGAAATGAGTACAAAAACTTCACTGATGGTGCCCCAAGAGATACGTGAGCTAAGTGAAAAGGACTTGGAGCGATAGGAGTCGAAGCTCTAGGTGAGCATTGAAAATAAAGTTGTGGTTCGTGAAACTGAAAAACTGAGGTTAACTAGGTATTTGAAAGGACGAAGTAGAGGTGTGAGGAGGATGAGGACGAATGTTGCTTGAGTTGGAGTGTATAGCGTGCTGACGTGGAAAAGCTGGAGGGTGGTGATTCCTTGGATTGAGTGTACAGCAACAATGATTGGCTGAGTAGGATTTTTCTGTGATCACTCGTCACCCTTCAGAACCAACCAGGTGTGCGTGTGTGGTTTAGGCTAGGTGGTTGGGATGCAGATTTGACCAAAACGAATGTTTTGAGACCACGTGTACAGTCCAAGTGTCCAGAATGCGAATGTGTTCTGACTAGTGTATTCACGAAATTGTTGTATCTACACTCACATGTCGCTAGTTTTCGTGGGAGCAAACAAAAGAAGGAACCGTTTTCAAACTGTCTTGACCGCTCGAAACCAAATACGCGATATTTTCGTTACTTTTGAGTGACGTTTTGGCGCCAGTATGCACTTTCGCAATAGGTGTATTCAGAGTTGCTTTTTGGGGTCGTTGTTTTCTGTATACTTCGCGCAAGAAAACCGCAGACTTTTCGCAGAAAAACCTTCGGACCCCCAAAATCGCATATTTCCTTTTCCGCGATGAAGGGAGAGGCGGTAGCAACGGGAGAGGCAGGAGCGACCGTCCCTCCCGTGACGGGAGCGAAAGGAATGAAAGGAAGGAAAGAAGATAAGGGAGAAACGGGAGGGACGGAAGCGAAGGGAGAGGCGGGAGCAACTGGAGAGGCAGGAGCGACCGTCCCTCCCGTCCCACCCGTCCCTCCCGTGACGGGAGCGAAAGGAATGAAGGGAAGGAAAGGAGATAAGGGAGAGACGGGAGGGACGGAAGCGAAAAAAGAGGCGGGAGCAACGGGAGAGGTAGGAACAACCGTCCCTCCCGTCCCACCCGTCCCTCCCGTGATGGGAGGGAAGGGAATGAAGTGAAGGAAAGGAGATAAGGGAGAGACGGGAGGGACGGAAGCGAAGGGAGAGGCGGGAGCAACTGCAGAGGCAGGAGCAACGGGAGGGGCAGGAGCGACGGGAGTGAAGGGTCTGAAGGGAGGGAAGGGAACGAAGGGTGCTAAGCAGTAAGGAGGCTAGAGGGCTTGACGGAGGGGCAGAGGAGAGTGGAGGGCTGCAGGAAGGGCCTGGCTAGGACGAGGGCGGATATGGCAGGAAGCGGCGCTAACGTGGCGCTAATGGGGGAGTGGCAGGGATGGGGAACCAGATAGTGCCAGATACCCATTTATGGGTTTCTGTAATTCTGTTTTGTGATTCTGTTTTTCTTGTGAGCCTTTGTTTGTCTTCACAGATCAATAGAGGGTCCGGCTATCCAGTGTTGTAAAGCTAATTTGTACTGTATAATTCCCAAGAACTCTGACTCTCTCTCTGCCTGGTTTGGGCGGGGTGTAGCATTTCTCTATACCCCCTTCTAGGCCTGCTACCGGTGTATGGGTATTGCACTTTGCTCCAAAAAACGTTATATGCAGTGTTGCAATGTAGAACCCGCCAAGGGGGTTGTATTGTCTGTTCAAGAGCTCCATACATACAAAAATGTACTGACTAATATCAGGTGTCACACAGCCAGACTACACCAATTAAAGGTGAAGGAGGTAAAATATGATAAAAGCTTACGAAATCACAACTGTCGGTCCAGTGGTGGCAGGGCAGGCGGGCAGGCAAGGAGGACGGGATGAGGATGCGAGGAGGAGAGAAAATAAAATTGTCAAGTGAGAAAAGAAGAGAGGGGGAGTAAGCTCGTATCCAAAGGGCATGAGAGCACATTAGTACTCAGAAGGCCAAACATTGAGGGATCACAATGATTCACAGCTACTCTGTCAACCTGTCAGTCATGACATGCTACATCCGAAGTTCCTTTCACATGGCTGTTTGGCATGGCTGTAGCTGTAGTCCAGACTGCAGGTGCACAAATGCCTATGCACCGGTAATCATATCTCGTGGTTTGTATATGTGCAGTGAAGTTCAAAAAAGCGAGTGGGGAGGAGAGAGGGGGGCGTGGGAGGTACGGTAGCTATGGGTCTAACCGCAAGTTACTATCAATAGTTTGCTATCATTAGTTTTGACTCCGTTGCAATATTCAAGCGTCTTGGCCCCGTGGTTGAGTTGAGAACATGTTGGCAAGGCTTTATTGCTGGGGAGTGGGCTCACTGCTGACCCAGCACTTGGGCGAGCTTGGCAGCAGCGTCTTTGCGCGCATTAGCAGGGAGCTGCAGCACAGAAACCAGAGAGACAAACCATGGAGAGAGAGAGGGGGGAAAAGAAGAAGAAAAGAGAGAGCAGAAAAGAAAAGGAGGACGATTGTGAAAAGGCACCAAATCAACAAGGCTGCAAGCCACATCACAACCGCATGGATCATGCTGGATACACAGCCTGCACCAGCAGCATGTATCCTCATGCACTCCCTCCCACCCCCATGCACTCCCATAAACTCCTTCCCACATGAATCCCCATGCCTAAAAGCCATCCCACGTACCGCCTGCAGCACACTGGACACGGCCTGCGCCAGCAGGACACATTCCCCATGCATTTCCATGTATCCCCATGCATTTCCATGTATCCCCATGCATTTCCATGTATCCCCATGCCACCACACCACAATGCAACCATGCCCCCATGCCACCATCCCACGTACCGCCTGCAGCACACTGGACACAGCCTGCGCCAGCAGGACACATTCCCCATGCATTTCCATGTATCCCCATGCATTTCCATGTATCCCCATGCATTTCCATGTATCCCCATGCCACCACACCACCATGCAACCATGCCCCCATGCCACCATCCCACGTACCGCCTGCAGCACGCTCGACACAGCCTGTGCCAGCCCGTCCGCAATGCTCCCGGCGTCCCTCTCCCTCGTCAGCACCGCCGCCAGCCTCCCTCCCCTCAGACTCATCACCCTCCTCCTGAACCCCTCCGCATTCCTCCTCGTGCCCTGCACCCATGCCACGAACTGCTTATCATCCACCCACTCATCCCCATCTATCGCCACACTCGTCCGCAGCGCCTCACTCTCCCCCCGCTTCACTCGTTGCTCGTCCAAATACCACCGCTTCACCTCTGCAATCGCATCAATCTTCCCCAGCCCGTCCACCTGCAGCATGAACTGCCTCGCAAGCCCGTCCTCCGCGACCTTCCGACACAACCTCGAGTAGAAATACGCCCTCGAGCTCTCCCAAGTGAAAATATCCCGGATCGCGCCCTTAGTGTGTCTGGGTGTGTGAGACAAGGCTGGGTGTGTGAGACAAGGCTGGGTGTGTGAGACAAGGGCAAGACTACTTTGGATCTAGCAAGCGAGAGAAACGACACTGCTGTGGTTAGACTCGTAGTGGTGCTCATTGCTTGCCTGCTGTGGTTAGACTCGTAGAGGTGCTCATTGCTTTCCTGCTGTGGTTAGACTCATAGTGGTGCTCATTGCTTGCCTGCTGTGGTTAGACTCATAGAGGTGCTCATTGCTTGCCTGCTGTCGTTAGACTCATAGAGGTGCTCATTGCTTGCCTGCTGTGGTTAGACTCGTAGAGGTGCTCATTGCTTGCCTGCTGTGGTTAGACTCGTAGAGGTGCTCATTGCTTTCCTGCTGTGGTTAGACTCATAGTGGTGCTCATTGCTTGCCTGCTGTGGTTAGACTCATAGTGGTGCTCATTGCTTGCCTGCTGTCGTTAGACTCATAGAGGTGCTCATTGCTTGCCTGCTGTCGTTAGACTCACATAGAGGTGAGGTGATGGTAGGGGAGGAGGAAGGGAGGGGAGGTAGCATGTGTCAGTGTGTGTTCGAAAGCTTGATACTTCAGCAAAGGGTAGATGGCATGAGCAGAGAGACGAAAATGTCAGCTGGAAGAAGTGGGGTATAGATCCCCATACCTCTCGCATGCTAAGCGAAAGGTCTACCATCTGAGCTACATCCCCACGGCGGACATGGCCATCTGTCACAAACTGTCATTGTCTATGTGGGGGAGAAACGGGAGGTGTGGAGGAAAAGGTTGCTTGCACCAGCAATCCCTCAGCAGACCCTCTCTGTGTCGTTGACACTCTTCTCCTCGCACTTATCTCCCTCATTACACTACATCCTCTCACCCCACAATTTCCCTCCCTCTTTTTTCCACCCATCAGTGCCGAGCCGAGCGGCTACGTGCGCCGCCAGCATACCCTCTCAGTGCCGTTAGGACTCAGCTCCTGGCTGCCTCCCTCGTCGCCCTCTTCTCCCTTCCCTCCTCTCGTCTTGCCCCATCAGAGCCGAGTGGCGTTGTTCGAGGGCTACGTGCGCCAGCAGACCCTCTCAGCGCCGCCGCTAGCGAAAGCCTTTATCCCGCAATGGGTGTGTCGGAGAATGTGAGTTGCATTTGGTCCTGAATTCAGTGGGTGCACAGGAGAGGGTGAGTAGACGGATGTAACCGTTTTGGAGGGTGGAAGTTGATGAATGTAACCAATCCGGATAGAGATGAATGTCACCGTTCTCCACCCCTCTCCACCCCTTTCCACCACTCTCCACCCATCCCCATCCCTCTCCACTGCTCTCCGCCCATGCCTCTGCAGCTGGGTGGCAGTGCTTCTAGGGCCCACCATGAGTGACGGGCGCCAGAAATTCCGCCTCGTGCTCTACCCATCCATGGCTGTGAGTGCATGCATGGCTGTGAGTGCATGCATGGCTGTGAGGGCATGCATGGCTGAGTGCATGCATGGCTGTGAGTGCAAGCACGGCTGTGAGTGCATGCATGGCTGAGTGCATGCATGGCTGAGTGCATGCATGGCTGTGAGTGCATGCATGGCTGAGTGCATGCATGGCTGTGAGTGCAAGCACGGCTGTGAGTGCATGCATGGCTGAGTGCACTATTTATTCATCTTAAAAGTTGTCAGACATTCCGCCTTGCTCTCTACCCGTGGTACCGGCAGTTGCAGCGCCTAGGCACCGGGAGGGGGAGGCCTAGGCGGAAGGCGGCTGCAGTAGAGAGTTGCGAGGGGCCCATCCGGAGCGAGGGGATGAGGGGGATCGCCAGCAGCCAGTCCCCTGCTCCCGGGCCCAGCACTGATTGCATCCGCTGCGCGTGGCCAGAGAGGGGATTGGGGCGCATCTGCCTCGCCTCGTTCATCACCCGCAGGAAGCAGCGGGTGTGAACCGCCAGCGCCAGGGACTGCTGCAGCTTCAGGCCCTTTGGCTCCGCTCTCCCTGCCTGGAGGGCCTCGAGTGCCTCGGGGGGGAGGGCCGCTTCAGCAGCTGCGAGGCGTGCTGGCAGGGCGTGGGTGGAGCCGTGGGCAGAGTCCAGGAGGGGTAGGAGCTCGGCCACCGCTGGGTGCAGCGAAATCAGTCAGGGAGTTCAGGTGGTGGGCCGTGCTAATCTCTCTCTCTCTCTCTCTCTCTCTCTCTCTCTCTCTCTCTCTCTCTCTCTCTCTCTCTCTCTCTCTCTCTCTCTCTCTCTCTTAAGCAGTCCTGTATTGATATGGCTCAAAGGTACAGGCATGGCATGTAGTGGCTAATAGGCTGTCTAAGCATGTAAGCAATGATGTAGCTAAACTAGCAATGCAAGCAACCAAACAACCAAACAACCCAGGAAGCAAGCAGGGCAAGGCTAGTGGAGCAAAAGCCACAAGACTCAGCCACCCACAATCGCCGCTGCTGAGACCACCTTTGCCTCTGAAAATCCCACAGTCCTCCTGTCCCGGTCCTACCCCTGTGACCCTTGTCTTCCACCCTGCAACTCCCTACCCGCTTCCCAGCACACTTCTCCTCACCCCCGGCCCCTCTAGGCCGCCCTTGCTGGGGCGTGCCGCTCTTCGTACTCGTCTTCTAACGTCTGCCAGAGATCACCAAGCCGAGGTACCCATGGGTCTACGGAGGCCTGTGGGAATGCCGCTTCTGCTGCCCAGTTTGACTTTGAGAGGAGAGAAATAGCCTGGCTGCGTTGGAGCGTCACGGACCACCTCTGCCTGTAGTGAGCGTTGAGACGGGCTGCGGTGGTTGTGAGACGCCCCTGCCTGTATTTCGTTTTGGCGGCATAGTTGGCCAGCATGCGTGTTAGAGGGGTGTTTACTGTTCCCTTTGAACAATACTCCCAACCCCATCCTTCTCCTTATCTTTTCAGATTTCCTAGTGCCACGTGGCACTCTACTTTTCTTGCTTCTACTTTCTAGTCCCACGAAGTACTTTCCGTCATTCGATCTTGCATGCTATATCAACCTTGCTTGTATTCCCTCATATCAACCAATTCTCATTCAACTCTTTAATTACTTAGTTACTTCTTCGCCTATTTCGCCAACACTCTCTTTCGCCAAAGTCTTCCGCCGCGTTTATCCTCGACTTAGTCGATCCCGCTAATCCTTAGCGGATTTAGGCCAGCATGCCTAACACTTGGTATCAGAGCCTTCGCGGGGAGCGACTTCCAACAAGCGACCGTCGACGACAAGACTACGACGTCATCGTCCTGCGATGCCGACTTGCAGACTTGGAGTCGTCGAGCCGACATGGATGAAACCATGAACGCTGTCCCTCGAGCCATGGCCCCATATGTTTCCACCGCCAAACCGAAGAGGTCGGCGTAGCTCGGGTGACCCTCATAAAGCCTGTGTTTCCCCTCCGATGCTTCCTCCCCTGCCCACCCCGGCGGTTTTCTAGCCCGCTCTCTCTCTCTCTCTCTCTGCCTGGTTTGAGCGGGGTGTTGGAATTCTGTACACCTCCTTCTAGGCCTACTACCAGTATACTGGTATTGCACTCTACTCCACAAACAGTTATACGCAGTGGTACAATGTAGGATCTGCCAAAGGGGTCATGTTCAAGAGCACCCTTCATTAAAAAGTGTACTGACTAATATAAGGTGCCATACAACCAGTCTATACCAATTATACGTTGTTGCGATCAGAAGTAGATCGTAACCAGGATCACCTCAGGAAGGTTCGCACACTTCTAGTCTAGTGGTGGTGGGCCGTTGACCTCAATAGCAGAGTGAATGTAAAATGCTTGAGATAATAAAAACATGCAGATACAACGATATAAATAAGAGTACAGGGGAATACGAATCGACCTAGCTAGCCATGTGCTCTAAGGGGTACATTCCCTTATTCAAATTCATTCCCAACCGTGCGGCGCGTACAGTTACGAAACTGTTCCCGCCAGAATCCTTCTGCCTGCAGCTGCCCGATGCCATCTGCTACGACGGTCCAGATGCATCTCAACCGTCTGACGTTTCGAGTCAATTCTGACTCTTCACATTCGTTCTCGATACTGCATGCACCTTTAGCTGCGGTCGGGAGTGCATTGTAATCTTCATTCATTGCTATTCGTAACACCCCCCTTCACTCCTGGCCGCAGCTCGACTTGACCTGCTTGACCACTCCGCTGAGTTCGGAGCAATGCTGATACTGCTGGCGTGGCAGTCGCTTCGTGAGAAAGTCTGCTGCCATGTCACCAGTCGCGCAGTAGGTCAAGTTAACCTTGCCTTTGTCCACTTCGTCCTTCACGAATAAATACCGCAGCGCAATGTGCTTGGTGCGGTTGACGAAACCAGGTTTGTTCGCGATGCGAATCGCGCTCTGGTTGTCGCAGTGGAGACGAAAGGTGGATGAAGCTGGAATTTTTGCCTCCTGCAGGAGTTCCTGCAAGTAGAGGCCTTCGCGAACTGCTGCGGTTGCTGCGATGAATTCCGCTTCGGCTGACGACAGGGCAGCCAGCTCCTGCTTCTGTGAATTCCAGGAGATTGGTCCCGTTGGTTCGAGTCGGAACAGGAAGCCAGTCCTCGACCGTCGATTGTCGGGATCTGCTGCGTGATCGGCGTCCACGTAGCCGATGAGATTGAAGGATGGGGTTAGTGCAGTTGAGTAGCACAGCCCAATCTTGGGCGTTGAAACGAAGAACTGTAGGGCGCGCTGCAGGTCCAGAAGATTCTCAGCCGTTGGTTTGCATGAGTACTGGGCCAGCTGACTTGCGATGTAGGAAAGGTCAGGCCTGCATGTGACAGAGGCAAAGAGCAGGCATCCCAGCTGCTGCTGGTAAATCTAAACTCCGGCAGGGGATAGGGCTTTGTTGCCAGGTTTGTGGTTCGGTCCCGGAGTTCGGTAGGGAGTGGAGAGCGGTGCAGGTGAAATGTTGAACCGCTTCCCTAACTCCTCTGCGTACTTAGCCGCTGAGAGGTGAATGGCCTCAGGTGCGTAGGAGACGTTGAGGCCTAAGAACTGCTTCACCTCGTAGTTGCACGTGATGTCGACGCGCCCTGCCAGGTTTTTCTCGAATTGCTCGAGTAACTCGTTGCTTGATCCCGTGTAAAGCAGGTCGTCGACGTAGACCGTGAGGAGAATGTATTTGCCGCAGAAGTCGCGGCGGTACATTCCTGGGTCGTGCGGCATCTGCTTGAA